CATCCATCCTCTCCACTTTCTGGGCCAACTTCCTCCTTGGAAACTCCTTCACCCAGTCATAGGCCCCAAGAAAACAGGACTGGTTCCAGGAGGGCCAGATGGCTTCTCCTGCCCCGCACCCCCGCCCCCAGCATCAGCGATGCTCCGGGCCGCTTCCCACCCTGCTCTCTTCTTGGTGGCACATTTGGAGCTCACGGAGAACGACAGGCCTGAGCAGAGAGACCTGGGATGGGTTGGAGTTCCCTGCAAATTCTCCCTTGCCAAGTGCTCTGGGTGGGGGCCACCCCATTAAACCCACCCCCAAAGTCAGCTGCTTTTCGCTGGCCCTCAGTCCTGGCACCTCTCTGCCTCACTCGGCCCTTTGCGAGCTTTTCCACTTTGTGAGTACCAAGGCTTCACGGTGGGGAAAGGAAAATTAGATTTACAGTTCGCTCCCCTGCCCAGCGTTCTCATTCCAGTTGTTCAAAGGGCTGAACTCTCCCCCTCACTCCACCTGGCCTCCTGTTAGAGGCCAGGCCACTTGGAAGCCGGCGGCCACGCGGTTTGCTCCCTCTCCTTTGGGGCCTAAGTATTTCCAGGGTCTAGGGCTCAGGCGCAGAGGCAGAATCCCAGACAAATGTTGGGCAGACAAAGAAGATGCAAACAGGACGGCATTACCATGTTAATGGCTTCAGTCCAGCAGCCTCCTGAAGATGCCTGGAAGGGTGTGTTTCTTTCTTTTACTTTCTCTTTTCTTTTCTTTTCTTTCTTTCTTTCTTTTCTTTTTTTTTAGGAGAATAGTTCCGCTTTCTATTTTACTACAACAATAGCGTGGACTGGCTCCTTCAAGTGTTTCAAAAGCAGCTTGAGAAATCTCTACCCAGCCCCTTGGTCTTTCCAGCCTGCCCTCTCATTGTCCCTCCCATCCCGGCAGACAAAGGGGAGGGACCAGTGTCAGGCCCCTGGTTGCCGCCTGCTCTCAGCATCCTAATCCTTGAGAACCAGCGAGGGGAAGGGCCTGTGGAGCTGATCAATCCCATTCTGCCCTCACCTTTCATTCTCTCCCTCTGCTGTGCACTCAGAGAGCTTCAGGTATTAGGAATCTTGGGGTTTGTGGAGGATAAAAGGCACCGAGGGACCATTCCCACGGTCACTGACAGCCCCACCCCCAGAGCGCCGGCCTGAGCTAAGGGCACTTTCCCACCACTCCAGCCCCGCTTGCTCTCTCCCAGAGACTGACATCAAGCTACCACGACACCTGCTTCTCTTAGTGGTAGCCCAGGACCTGCCCCAGCCTCCTAGCTAATCTCCTTTGGGGGTGTCCTGCAGGCGTGAGCTGCAGGTCCTACCCGGAGCTCCAAGCTCACTTTGGCTTAGAGCGGCCCCTCCCATCAGGAAAGCTTTGTGGCCTAACTGTTGGTATCTCTCCAGGTCCCTGACCCAGGAACAAGGCCCCTCTGCTTCAAACCTGGGGGTCGGGCAGGTCTTTCCGCAGGCTCATCTGCTAAGAATGGGGAGAAGGGAAGGGAAGCTTGTGTATTTCAGCCTATGGTGGTCTCAAGGGAACGACTATACGAGAAAGAGGAGAGAGGTAAGGAGTTAGTATGCGGCCTCCAAGGAGAAGTAGGGAAGTGGAAGGCTGGAGCATCCTAGAGATTGCCATGGGCTACTGTGATTTACATACACAAACTGACCGTGTACATATATGCACACCCAATGACTAAATATCATGGAAGGATGCAATGCATATGATATGACTTGATAAGTTCCAGTTCCCCTTCCTCCGCTCTCCCCACCTCCCGTTCTTCTTCCGTGTAGCTCATACACCATCAGTTTCCTTACAGCCAGCTAACAGGTTCCTGTTCAGTTCTTAAAGCTAGGGCTCCAGAGACTTTTCTCAAACTCACGGCAGAGGTGGAACTGAAAAAACAAGCGTCCTTTCCAATAAAAGAGGCTCCTGATTTTCTGGGGAGAACAGCTCTTGTCGCCCCCGCTCCCCCCCCCCACTCCCCAGAAGAATCAGGAGCACATGCAGGAAAGCAGGGCCTTGTGAGGTTGTGTTCAGAGGCATTGCTGACAAGAGAAGCAGGGTTCCCTAGATAGGGAAGTGCTTTTCGGGGAGCAGCACCAAGACAACAGCATAGAAATCAGCATGTGGGGGTGATGCCCCTCCCCTGGGTATGTTTTTATTGGTTGGGGATCTTGCATCGTGACATTTTCTTAAATTTTTCTCTTTCCTGGACACATGGCTTGAGGTTTGTCCCTGTCAGTAACACACTTTCTTTGCTGGTCTCCAGCTCTCTCTGTAGTTATTCTTTGCTTTATTATTATTATTGACTATTATTGCGTGTGCATGCACACGCCCATGCACATACATGACAGCATGCATGTGGAGGTCAGAGGACAACTTTTGAGACATGGTCTCTTCTTCTACCTTGGTTTTTCCTTCTTTCTTTTTAGATTCGGTTCTATGTGTAAGAATGCTTTGCCTGCAAACACAAGCATGTATGTGCACCACATGTGTGCCTGGTGTCCACAGAGGCCAGATGAGATCCAGGGATCCCCTGGAGCTGCCGGAGAATGCCAGGAATCACACCTGCCCCTTTCATCTTTGAACCGCCCAGTCATCTTTCCAGCTTCTCTCCACCTAGTTTTTGAGATACAGGTCTCTCTTGTTATTTCTGCCATGCCATGTACTCCAGGCTAGACCAGCTTCAGAGTGATTCTCCTGCCTCTGCCTCTCATCTCTTCATAGGACTGCTGTGATTGCAAACGGGCGCCACTGCCTGTGGTTTCCTTGTTGTTTAAGCGTGGGTTCACTCAGGTTGGTGGGCCTGAGACAGCCTTACGGAGGGTTTTTGACTTCCTCCCACCAAGTGTCTATCCAGTCTCTACTCTTCTCTAATAATCCCCTCTTCTCTGTCTGGATCGCGATCTTAGGCGTGAACATGGTGGAGGCAGACCAGGGAATCTTGTCCCTGCAAACGCTCCCGGTGTTACCCACTTTAGACAACCTAAGAAATGCTTTGCAGCAAGGCTTTCAGTGCGAGTCTTCTGGGCAGAACAGATTCTTTTCTTAAGTTTGGCTTACAATTTGCCCTAGACTTTCTGAAATCTTCATCTTAACTTTCTCTTTACTAGAGCACTAATCTTCTCAGACAGTCTCTAAAGATGCAGCCTTCGCTCGAAACTCACCCTGTGCCCTGGGCAAACACAAACCCGGCTTTCTGATCGCTTACTAGTTATACACCCTTAGAGAGTATGTAACAAAGGGGCCTGCTGTTTGCTTTGCTTAATCTGCTCTTAAAATCTCTGCTTCTTTGTCAGAAAACAATATTTGCAATTGTAAAAAAAAATATTTACCAAGGAACTTGGATAGCATAAGTCAAAGGCTAAGAGCCAAAGGTCAGTGGTTCTTACCCCAAATTTCTGTGGACCTGAGAGTCTCCCGCTGGGGAGCTCAGCTGCACCGAACAAACACACTGCTTCAGAGTCCATTAAGGAGCAGATATTTTTGAGGGGGTGGAAAGGGAGGGCTGCAGCCTGTTCCTCATGCAGAAGCAGGAACTCCCCATCCTTCCCCTGCTGGGTCTCTGCAATGAAGTGATCTCCTTGGGGACCCTGAAGCAGCCGGTTTATAAACCTGGGGAAAAACCCTAGTTCATAAAACCCTGCAGGGCAGACATTCCCCCATGCAAACAATAGGAAAGGCTCTCTGGTTCAGGGCAGATGTTCACCTATGCGTCCCTGTGGGTGGGGTCTCTGGCCTGACAGTGGGGGACAAATGTGCATCCTGAGCACTTCTTAACCCATAAAGCAGCGTTTAACACTTGGCTCGAGAGGCTGAATTGTCTAAGTCCTAAATTTACCCTTGTATGTTAACTATTTTCTGGAAGGACCTGACAATGTCAAGAGTCTCTCCTAACCAGGGCACCCAGCACGTAGGATCGAACCTCCACTCAAGTGGCCTAGTAGAGTTCTGCTTTAAGCCAGAACCCAGAACCCAAGTCGAAAACCAGAATGTCCTAAAGTACAGACTAGAAGAAATGTCTTTGGGACTTCAGCACAGGGAAGTGGGGTTCCAGGAATCCCACACACAGCCCTGCAGGTTGTGGGTTGATCTTTGCCAGGCTGGCACTGACAACTTTGTACGCAGCTCACACCATAGGATCCGCAAAGGACATGCGGGGACAAGTTCTCCCAAACAATCAGAAGCGTTCTTGACATTCTCCAGAGACAAACACCTGCTTTAAAGGAAATGGCCATTTACAAGACCATTATGGGGCTGAGGAGACAACTCAACAGGTCAAGCGCTGGCTGCAAAAGTGTGAAAGCCAGAGTTTAGAACCCCAGACCCCATGTGAAAAGTTGGTGGTTGTGGTAGCCCACTGACAGTCCCAACACAGGAGGCAGAGAAAGAAGACTTCCTAACTCAAGCTGGCTGGCTCTACTAGCCAGGAGGGAGAATTCCATGTTCAGCAAGGGCCCTGGTCTCAAACATAAGGCAATAATTGAGGAAGATACCTGCCAACTTCAGGTTTCAATATGCACAGGCACCTGACCATATACATGAAAACACACACATACATACATAAGCAATCTATATCTAATATCTATAAAGAATCTATGGCTGTATTTAATATTGGTCTATGGGATCTCTTAATGAATTAAGCCCTCATATTTTTGTTATTGTTGTCCCATTTAGAGGATTTTATATTTGATTTTCCTTTTGTTTTGTTCATTAGAATGAAAAAGAATAAGTGAGCATTCTACCAGTAAACAACAGCCCTTCCATTCTGTTATAAATCCTGTAGTTCTTCCTTCCTCCTGTCAAATTCTTGTTACAACTTGCCAAATCCCTTGATCTTATCAGGGTTTAAAAAAAATTGCCAGCTGATTCACCTTGGCCTTTGAATTGTCCTGAACTAGCATATAAAAGGACCCAAGCAGTGCTTGACACTGGTTATGGGCAGCACTGAGAAGAACATGCTTACAGAAATCATTTAGTCGATGGCTCTTACCTTGGAGAACCAGGCCTTCTCCCTTGATGGTGTAGACGAAGGAGGTGAAGGAAGCCAGAGGGGACTTGGCAATAAGAATCTGCACAGAGAGCACATTGTCCAGAGTTAGCAGAAAGTTTAGCATGAGCCGCTGCTGGCTCCCTTTCTCCTTTGATAGCCCACGATTACAAGGCATTGGATTTATTATTACAAATAGTTTAGAGAGCTGGGCATGACGGTACTGACCTTTTAGCCCTAGCTCTCAGGAGGCAGAGACAAGTAGGATCTTTATGAGTTCAAGGCCACCCTAGTCTACATAGTAAGTTCTGGGACAGCCAGGGCTATGAGGAGAGACTTTTGTCTTAAAAAAGTAACAACCACACACAAAAAAAGTTGTTTTAGGACCAAATGTTCAAATGAGTCTTAATCATGTCAACATGGTCAACTAGGAAAGACATTTATCTCAACACTATGCTAATAAACCAGCAGTTCTCAACCTGTGGGTTGTAACCCCTTTGGGAGTTGAATGGCTATTAAGGGGTCACCTAAGATCATTGGAAAAAACAGCTATTTACATTATGATTCATAACAGTAGCAAAATTATAGTGATGAAGCAGCAATCAAATAATTTTATGGTTTGGGGTTCACACAATATGAGGAACTGTATTAAAGGATCGCACATTAGGAAGGCTGAGAACCATATTAAAGGGTTGTAACACTAGGAAGGTTGAGAACCAGGGCACTAAATACTATATTCTTAAACAAATTCTTCCAGAAATAATATGTTTGTTTGTTTGTTTGTTTTTGGAGATAGTTCCTCTGTGTAACAGCCCTAGCTGTCCTGGAACTAGCTCTATAGATCAAGCTGACCTCGAACTCACAGAGATCTGCCTTTCTCTTCCTTCCCAGTGCTGGGATTAAAGGCGTGTGTTACCACTGCTCAGTTGAAAAAGATTATTTTATGTGACATGGTTAAATAGTTACCTCTCTGCGCAATGATAAACCTACCCGATCTTCTAATTTTATCCATAGCTTAGCTATTAAAAAAATAAAGCTACCTTAAAATAGTTACTATCATATCATGACAAATATTCAAAATAACTTGCTAAGGCAAAGGAATGGTAAGCTGTTTATTAGCCCTGGCCCCGATTCCTCTTGGAGTGCGTGATTCTACCCTTTATCCTGTGACTGTATTTTCTCTAACTGAAAGCCTCATCATGCATTCTTGTGGATTTTGACTGTGGGTTTGGCTACATGGTTTGTTTTGGCTTATGCCAGTTCCCAGCCTAGGCCTCAAGTATTTCCATCTGTTCTCTTATACTCCTGCCATAGCCAGAGGAAAACAGGTTCAAACTAGTTAGCTATCTCAGGAGAGTCAGAGATGTCTAGGACAGAGCTAGCCACCCAGGCCCAGCTGCAGGGGACCCACATGCATGAGAATTAATATTGCTGCATGCCTCTGAATGTTTGGAAGTGCTGATGTGAAGCATTATTGCACACGAGTTGACCTGCACTCCAGCAAAAGAGAAATGCCAACTGAGTTTGGAACAATGACATTCTCTCTTGTAAAGAAGGTGATTATTTGGTAAAAATGATTTGTAAGAATTATTTTTGCAGAATATGCATGTATACATATATACACACATATATGTATGTATCTGGGATGATATATATACATACATATACACATACACACACATATATATATATATATCAAGTGCTGCATGCATACATAGACATACACACATAGTGCTTATCATTGGGTATGTGAACTAGTTATCTGAAACACAAAATAATCAAAATAATCAACATGTATTTATTTGGAATAAAATAAAAATTTCAGAAAGGAAAGATGGCTCACTGGATAAAGGCAGTTGTTGTCATGCCTGTGATGGTCTGAGTCTGACCCTCAAGACCCAGATGATGAAAGGAAAGGAAACAAAAGAATCAACTCGTACAAGAATTACAAAGAATTAAATCTTCCTCTGACCTTGCACGCATGCCCTGGCATGTACATGTACATACACGCACACATACATACACACACACTCCTAAATATAAAAAATAAAGTTTCATTTAAAAAGTCTAGAAAAATAATTGGTGGATTATTTTATTACAATATTTCTGCTCAACAGAGATGATATTTGTCCTGTTTTATAAGTAAAAATAACTTCACTAAAATTGTGGCATTTGCTGGGCAGTGGTGGTGCAGGCCTTTAATCCCAGCACTTGGGAAGCAGAGGTACGCGGATCTCTGCGAGTTTGAGGCCAGCCTGGTCTATAAGAACTAGTTCTAGGATGGGCAGGGCTGTTACACAGAGAAACCCTTTCTCAAACAACAACAACAACAAAATCGTGACATTTTGTCACAGAATCATTTTGGTTGTGAAGGAAGCAAAGAAAAGGAATAAATGATTCCAAACCATAAAAAAGCAAGCTTACACATATATCTCAATCTATGTCAATGTAACATATACTGACAGTCTATAATATAAAAAGGGCATAAGTTTTGGTGACAGGGTTTGAATCTCATCCTTCAGTTAGTTGCCTGGGCAGAACCTATGGGTTCTCTTTTTAGTAATTCCCATTTTCCTTCCTAGAAAATAACTTCCAAGTTCCTACATTTCTTTGCCTTTTCTGCAACTAAATGTGGCCAAGTGCACATTGACTGACAGAATGGGAGTGGAAATGTCCGATAAAACTTTGGATTATGTTTTCATAAGAAATTGAATGACCTTCCCTTTTCCCTTTTCCCTAAGGGCAGGGACACTCTCCAACCACAGAAGCACTAGTGATGCTGAAGCCATGTGTGATAAGAAAACAAAAGATCTGAGAGAACATCAGCACCTTCCACATAGACCACCAGGCCTCTTCGGACAGAACTACGGGTCTCAGTTTCTGTATTCCAGATGTGTTTGTTACTTACACTATAGTCTGAACCACCAGTCCTGTGACTCTGGCCAGCCTGAATGCTTTGAGTCTTAGTCTTTTTTTTTTTTTTAAATATCTTAAATAAAGCTAAAAATACCTGTCTGAATAGGTTACAGCAAGGATTAAATTAGGAAAAATGCTTGTCATTGTGTCCAACACATAGTAAGTACGGAATGAGTAAGAGGAACTCAGCCCATCACATGTGCTTCCCAAATGCCTATCACCATGGAGAAACAATATACTCCGCCTTTACTAGAAGAGAGTCGCTAACTGAACCGTGATCATTCTTATAGCTGCTCTAAAGCCATTTGACACACTAGCTCATCGTCCTTAGACCCAACAAAGTCAAAAACATCTCATCTGAAAGTTAAGGTGGTTCATTTCTTGACTGGGATGGTTTGGGGATAGTTCATGTGAAGTTTAAGGATGCTCCTTCAGTGGGGAGTGGTATGGTATAAGAACGGAGAGAGCAGCCCCTTGCAGGCCCTGTAGACTCATGGATTCTCAGTTGGTAGATTCAAAAGGGGCCTGAGATGCCTAGATGTGCTTATATATATATATATATATATATATATATATATATATATATATATAATCCTATGAATATATAGAATATATAGACTCCTATGAATCACGCAGGTGGCCTGCCTGAAGAGTCTAACCTGGAAGAGCATGTGGTGAGAGGTCAGGAGCCAGGCAAGAGCCAGGCAGGAGGCTCCTGGGGGAAGATCTGGGATGAGAATGAAATGGACCTATACTAAAATTAAAGAAAATAAGCAAAACCCCAAACTAGGATCTTTATGGTCTATCTGCAGCAACTAGATGCAAAGTCAAAAGGATCTGATCAAACAGCAAGAAATAGTATCATATTTTGAATGTTAGGCAATCATTTTTTATGGACTATAGAAGTTGAAAAATAGAAGAAAAATATTCTAATATTTGATGAAGCATTGCCTTTGAATCTAAGCTGTCTGACTCTTGGTGCCATGTCTGTCACCTTAGGGTCAAGGTCCTGAGTCTGAGCCGAGGGGACAGTGTATCTAGAATGACTTCCTCACTTCAGTCACAGGGTCTGGACAAGCCACTGGTTAAAACGCTGCCGTGGAGCAGAATTTCAGATGAGACATCACAAAGATAACCTGGGTGCAGTTGGGAGGAGGCAGTGAGATAACACAAGTCAGATGGAGCCCGCTTCCTTTTGGGCAGGGGGAGAAGCGGAACTTCCAGACCGAAGGACGAAAGGGCTATCTCCAACTGTAGCAAAAACTGTGATCAACTCTCTTGATACTCCACCAGACAGAGCGAGGATGAGTTAGGCTGAAGGCTGAGAGCATGAAGTGGGTTTGTTAGTGATCACACGATCCTTAGCAGCCTCTAGCAGGTGGCACTGAACCGAGGAGCCTGGGCCCTGCCCGGTTCAACATTTTTACTGAGAGAGATGAGGAGGTTGCTGCAGCATCCAACCACACTCTTGAACAAACACGGAGCCCAGCGGGAGAGAAAGTGACAAAAACTGCTGTCTCAGCACACCTTTCATCCTACAGGAGGCGACAGGCAGTGAGATGAGTGACCGTGGGGTACAGTGCGAGGCGACGTGCATGCTACAGAGAGGAAAACAGCAGAGCGCACAGGAGAGGAGCTGGGATCAGCAGAAGTCCACTAAAGTGGGCTGAGGATCATGTAACTAAACACACTGATGGGAAGCTGAATGGATGGGAGGTGACAAAAGACACACAGAGAGAGGCATTTGTACAGCAGACCAGACAACTACGGTATCTAGATGAATCTCAATTTGGCTAAAATGCTGAGACAAATCCCATGTATCTTTTAGTTAAATGTGAAAGACATATTAAGAGGTAACCAGAAAATCCCACAGGTCTTGTAGGATAAAATTCCATTGAAGTAACTATCAGGTCTTCTTTTTGGGAAGAGAACGCCGGTTACTGGTTACAGAGTAGGAGAGATGAGAGCCGGCATTCAGAAACGGGACTAGGAGTGTTAGTCAAATGAACCAGCTGTGAGATGTGACTCAGAAACCTAGTCTGGTCACAGGTTGTAAGCATTGGCAACGGGAGGTTGTGTCAGCAAACCACACTTAATGAATGCCGTGTGTGTGGAGAGGGGCCCAGATCCCAAAGGCAAACGGACCACTGGGAGGGCAGCCTAAAG